AAGAGGTGGTTGTAATATTCTAAAGGTCACTCTTGATGGCATCTTGAAAGATTAGCTGCATCTTTAAAAAAAGGTTGCAAAAATCCATGATTTAGGATTGGGACTTTATTTCTGATTAAATAGGTTAGAACTGGTCATTGCTCAATTTGGAGGTCATCTAAAGCAAAAGCAAATTACGTGATTCAGTGTAATTTTAATTAAAATAATTTTTTATAAAGAAAGATTAATAGAAACTTTAAAATCATAATATAAGCATATTTTTATCTGCTTTGCAAGTTTACTTAAGGAAAAAAAGTGGATTTTGAATATTGTTTTTGACTTTACATATGAATGAACAAAACTTTGCCAATTATATCCAAAAATAGATAACAAAATTGAAAAAGTCAAATAAATCAAAAACAGCATTCAAAACCCTACTCTGCGCTCTAAGTAAACTTGCAAAGCAGGCAAAAATGCATTTAGAATGTGTATTTAGAATGGTTGAATATATGGTAAAAAGTTTTATTTTATGAAAACAATTTTTTTCAAAGTCACGTGATTTGCCCGCTTTAAATGACCTTTCAATTTATCTGCACCTATAAGGGAGATGTTGATGAAACATTTTGGAGTATAGTTATTTATGATGTTCTTTATGCCAGTGGCATGCTGACTCCTTGTTGAAGTGGATGGATAGGTGCTTTGTTTCCTTACAGAGAATCAGGATTTCAAATTACAAAAAATGAAATTGTTTCTGATGAAATGCCTTCTGGGCTAATGCATGTTCCATTCAGTTTGAGTATTAGGGACGAGATTTTTAAATTAAGTATTTCTGCAGGTTTTTTTTGGTGCTTGGTTGGTACATTGCTGATAAATTAGAATACTAATACAGTTTTTTATTATTTATGCCCATTGTTTTTTTTTTTAAATAAATGATATTCAATAAAGCTCATTCACTTTATTTTAATTACAATCATCTCAAAATATTATATAACATAATAATAATTATACACATTACACAGAGCTAAAATAATTAATTTTTATCTACTAATTGTATTTATAATCCTTTTTTTTTACTTAGGCTTAAATAGCTTTATAAGTTGATATAATATATTTTGAAATAAAGTATAAAATTTCAAATATTTACTAAAATCCCAAAAGTTTTAACTAAAAAGAAAAAAGAAAGAAAAGACTTTAATCTCTTCCCAAGTTCGCCAATCTCAGCTAAGAGCTTGGCATTTAATTCTCTCAATAAATCAATAGATTGCATGTTCAATAATAATTTTTTATGTAAGATGGAATAATTCAAAAGTTCATTAGCATAGATAAAAAATCAACTGATTTATTGATGTAAAAAATAAATTATAAGATTCGGTAATACATAAACTTGTTTTTTGCAAAGCGAAACAACGTTTCTAATTAGTTTTTTTCGTCTAAACTATCCATCCATATTAGCACATTGTCACTCCAGCCTGGGTCCCGGGATACACAATATTTCTATACAAATACAAGTGACTTTTCTTTTGAAAATTTCATCTGAAGGTCAATCTTTTATTAAAAAACATAGAAGCTCCAAATGCTACGCAACGCAGAGAAAAAGCACAGCTGGCGTTGAAACGTACCATCCTGGTCGACACTGGGTCATTAGCAGACAGACTCCCAAATGAATAGTAATAACGTCTCTGCCTATCCAAGATGAATAACATTCAACTTAATACCTAGCAGACGCTTGCGCAGGGATTGTGTATTAAAAACGTCCGCAGAATACAAGCGAGTAACACTGAGGGCTTTTTCCGCTCGAGTAATCCAGCTGTGCTTTGGAGAAAATTGTATAAAACAGTCTAACAGGCCCTTTTTATTGTATATGGTCAGTTATAGGGTGGATCGGACCAAAAAACTGCCGAAAATTGAGACTGATCCGGTCTACTGATCAAATTTATTGGCTGGTGTACGCGTTTTTTTTTTTGCGATTATTGCAGATATTAGGCCTGTTCAATTTTGATCGTTCGCTTTTGAACGAAACTAAAAAAAAGAAAAATTAACATGAATCAAGTGCAAATTAGCGGAAAAACCTACTAAACTTACAATTAATTTTTGATCGATCAATCAAAATCAAGATCGACTTGATTCTGATCACATGTGATCAAAAATCCGAACAATCAAAAGATATTACGTACATGTAGCAAGCAAGCTGCCAACTCAGAATATAAAACACGTTTGAAACAAGCGATTGAATCACTTGAATGTGTTCCTAGCTCGAAGACATTGCTTAAATTAGAAAAAAAATTGGATTTAGGCCGCTATAAAAATAACTGGACACGTTATGATGATTGGAAAGAAAATAGAAAAGCAAACGTAAGGGGAAGTTTTATCTCGTACAGTTTAACTTGCTTTCCAGATAACAAGCTGTGCGAATTGATTTTCCAATTCTGACTATGCTGACAAAAATTGAAATAATAATAGAAAAAAGAAACATCAAGCCCATCGAATTTCATGCTCAGTTAGATAACGTAAAAGTTTCCTACTTACATCAAGATATTATAATGACAATTTAATCACTGATGAGTTCTCTTCAATGCTCATGCAGATGGATATGAAAACGGATGATGAATCTGGACAAGATAATGGTGATGATGATAACCTCTTTCATTTATCTCCAGAGGTAGTTATATTTATATTGCATGATTTAGAATTACAATAATTAATGTAATCTTTTTTTCAATTATTTTCTAGCATACTAGGCATACTCAAAGATCCATGAACGAAAAGCCAACTATAATGTCCTTACGTTTCTGTAAATACGACGGCTTTTCCGGCCTTGAAATAACATTGTACCGTATTTTGCGGGCCACAGTACTCCCCCTATGCACAGTACCTTACAAAAAAGAACTCCCATTTTCTACCGATTTTATTATTTAAAATAATTTAATAAATACCTAGGTATTACGCATGATAAATACCCAATTATTATATAAGTTTTATACATATCTACTAATAATAAAAACTCACGCAATGGTGGGGTATAAGGTCAAAACCTCTGAAATCTGTATCATACCCGGGGTACTGTGGCCCCCGTTATACGGTAATATATTAGAGCGATTGGAGTGAAGGAGTGTCTCAACGTGGAGGACACATCTTCAAATTACTTACTTGGTCAGCTGTAGACAGTAAATTGTTCCCGGCACAGGATCCTATATGCTATCCAGACCTAGACTGGGAGTAAACACTTGGGAACTCTTCCACTCTGAAACATATCTTGAAGAAACATCAACGCGGAAGTCACGCAATGATTTGAGTGGTGAACTTGACATATTGATAAGAAATCTGGAACCTGAAACAAAGGAAGTAAGAAGGTCTTGGCGTTGAGGCGTGAACTAAGTGCTTAAACACATTTTCGAGAATGTGAAAGTATTAACAATAATAGTGAGCGTGCTAGCGCCCTGTGCATCCAGACATAGAGCTTTTGCGATGTGCACTTCTCTGCTACAATGTTCTTTGAATAGGGATTGCAACTAATTCTGGAAGAGGGAAGAGTCGGCACTTGTTGAGACCAACTGTAAATTTTGGCATTATAGTTGCAACTTTGAAAGATACTCAACTTCGAAAACTACATGATGCTATCAGTATTAAATAGAATCATAAAAGAAGGTAAAGTAAGAATAGCGCAGTCAGGCATTACAGGTACAATACAACGTTGATTGGGCTTGGAGCCGGCTGATTTCATTATTGATGCATCAGTCCTACTATTATCTGATGTTGATCCTTTTGAATCTATACGGGAGCTCCATCATCAAATACTCTGGTGATACTCTTCAAATAAGACAAAATTGGTACGTGAAAGAAAATATGATGACGAATTGCAAAGGTTCGACCGACTATATCCATCGGATGCTCCTGCATGGTCTTATGTCGAACAACAAGACATAATCTTCGATACCTATATTGATCACTGATCAGGGTGTTAGAATGCGTTGCCATTTCCCTTGTCACAAAAGAACAGTACCCTTATTTTATCTTCGAGTTTGAAGTTGGTGGTGTGCAAGTCCATAAAGATTTTGCAGTTGTAGTTGCTGAAGCAGCTCACGCTCTAAGTCGCATACTTTCAATACATACTTTTTCAGAAACAAAAATATCTTTGATTCGAGTACATTTTGCTTTAGTCAATAATTTTCATATATATGTCTTGGTATATTAAGACCTCTTTACAATCAAGAATGTGGTGCCGCCTTATATATATATGATCAAGATATCAAGTGCTTTGAGCTGCAATCAGGTTGCATTGGAGCTGATATCGAAAATGTATTAAATTTAATTGTTTACCTGAGACAGATTGATTGTAAGGATGGCCTGTATTTGAGAAATCTTCTTAGTAGAAGGACTTCCGGAAAGAAACGAGAATTTTATTGTGGATTGCCAAGGCTTCCATCGGAAGCAGAAAAATCCAGAGTACCGAAGGTAAATTTCACACCGAAAGCCAAAAGAATCAGATATGAGATGTGTAGTACTGAAGATAAAAGAAATGATTCGGCATATTATTATGGTAATTATCCAGTGTTACTTGAAGAAGAAAACGTAAATCAACAAGTGATCGATCTATTCTTAACTGGTTCTTCGTCGATGAAGATCAGTAATTTATTGAATTAATGAATAGATATCATTTCTTCAAAACTGTTGGAATTAGATTATATGTTTTTTTGTCTTATTAGTGTAGTTTACATATTTTTTTTGGCACATTTACACGCATGTAGCATACATTAGTTAAATCATGAGGAAATCACCTGATTTATAATATACTGAATTTTTATATCAGATCATCAAAAGAACGAGTGTGGGACGCAAGCCCATGATACATGAAATTTCTAAGTTATTGTACATAACTATTTTTTGATAAATTTTTTTATCCTAGCCCTCTTCCAAAAATAAAAGATGAATTCAAAGTATTTGCGTAATATCAACTAATTATTTTACCATTTATATTCTAATGCGATTTTCTTGTAATACAATGTCGGAAATCACCTTACTTGATTTGATTCAATAGATTTACGAATAAACTACATATATCGTCAGTTTGTTTTTATTGTATCTTAGATCATTCTCATTATGACTCAAATCACAAAATTAAATAATCCTCAACCGTCTATTCCAAATTATCTACGAGATACTTGGATAGATAAGCATAATAAAACTTCCCATAAACCCATACAATTACCTACGCACTGGAATCCTAGCGAGTGTTCGCCTAATTTGAAGATTCAAGATGGTCTTCAACTTTTATACATAGGACTTGGAAGAAATATTTGGGATACTGGAGCTGTGAGAGCTAATTGTCCTATTCCTTGTGAAGCTGGAATATATTATTTTGAAATGGAGGTTATCGATATGGGTGAACGAGGGTATGTTTAAACTTATTTATTCCAAAAACGTTAATACAAATAAGCGAAAATTTCTTTCAAAATAGGAATATCGGTTTGGGATTTGGAAAGAAAAGTTGTCCTCTCACTAGAATGCCAGGATGGGAAAAAGATTCGATAGGATATCATGGTGATGATGGGTAATTAATCGGTGCTAGGAGAGTGGATACTTCTTAAAATAAACTAATATCATTTTTCAATTTCAAGATTGGTCTTCTTTGAAAGCCCGGTTGGCAGAGAATATGGTGCTTTATATTCAACTGGGGATACGGCTGGATGTGGGGTTAATTTCTTAAATGGGACCGTATTTTTTACAAAGAATGGAATTCACTTAGGTAATACCTACGAAATCATTGTAGTAACTGAAAGTTTTTTCGTATAATTTGTAGATTATATTATGTATAGTCTCTGGTATTTACCTTTTTTTTTTTATTGAATAATAGGTATTGCATCAACACATATATTTGATGGAGATATATATCCAACTGTTGGATTAATAAGTCCTAATGAATGTGTAGAAATGAATTTTGGACTGAAGCCCTTTAAATTTGATATTGATCAATATGCAAAGGTATTTCTTTTTTATTATTTATAGATCTAATATAGGCATTTATTTACCATCATTTTTTATCTTAGCATGCATTTACTGATGCTGAAAATCAAAAAAGCAAGATAAAGAAAGATTCTTGAACTAAAAAAGATATATTTATTATTTATATGTTATGTGTTTAAATAAATATATATAATAAATATATATATATACTTTTTTTTGTATTAGATTTAATCTTAATTTATTATTTTTTTTAAAAAAAAGGCATTTTTTTTTGTGAATATTCTATGTTAATATTAATTATAGTAGATTTACAACTTATTATTGTAAAAATAACATTTTAATTAATTAGAAAAAAAATTTAACAAATTTAAAAATTGAGCTTTTTAAATAAATAAATAAGTTTTTTTAATTAATTGAAAATAATTTATTGTTATCTGTTAGCTTTCAGGTTTGTAACTGGTTTGTATTTAATTCAATATTTTATATATATTCATATTTTTAAGATTTAGTTATAGCATTATTTCTATATAAGTCAAATATGAAAAATTGGTTTATATGAACAATTGGTAACCTATTAGACTATTACCTAATTATTACCATTTGAATATATAATTCAATTAACTACCAATCAGTTTTATAATACTAATTGATTTATAGTATCTGATAAATCAAAAAATTAAAATTATACAGTAGTTTTGTAAAGCAAATCAAATTATATTTATTTCAAATGTTTGAATTATATTTTTATTATTGAAAATTAGTCATTAATTTGATATATATATAATCAGTATGAAAAATTCCAGTTTTTACTAAAAATTTTACTGGAATTGGAAACTGGAATATTGAAATACAACTGGAATATTAATGGAATATTGGAAGTTTGGAACATCAGAATACTGGAATCTTTAATGAAATAGTTTTGAAGTTAATTTCAGTATTTCAGTATAAATGTATAATATATATATATATATTATTTAAATTAAATTTGATCGAAGCAGGAAGAAAGTATATAACTACATTGCTAAATCTGAAGCATACTTGGGTAAAATGCTTTACATCACGACACTTTACAGCAGGGACACAATCTACACAACGTGTTGAATTAGAAAATGCATTAATACAAAAAGCTGTACAATCAAGCTTCTCTCTTTTGCAAGTCCAAGAATCTCTTGAAAATCGGCTTAAATTTGAGTCAATTAACAATGATCGTTATTCAATTTGGAAAGCTTTGACGTTACAATATACACAGCCATTTGTTATTCAAACATTTTTTAGCGGCATTGACGACATCATGAAAAAATATCTTACTCAACCGATTCATGATGCGCATTATAAGCAGATGTGTCAATCCATATGTTATCGTGCGTATCAGATATCATTCTCTGAAATTTCAGTATCAGATGATGATTCGTTTGAACCTTTTTTGATAAAGAAATGGATGATTCTGATGAAACTTTTATTGAAGCTGATGAAGATCAGGAATTTAATTTGAAATCTTTAATTTCGTTAGTTGATCCTAATGATATTTTAGAAATTTGAAAGATTTCTCGATATAACTAAGGTTGCTTGCCGAAACCTAAAGGTTTAGGCAAGATGGCGTTTCGCCAAAAAGCGAAATTCTGCCAAAACTATATTAAAGTTATATTAAAAAACTGGCGAAACTTTAGAGAAAGGTGAAACTGCCGAAACTTATTATAAATGCTAAAACTGCCGAAACTCTGCCGAAACTATAATAAATCTATAGTAAAATTTTGACAAAACTAATCGTAGGATTTTGAAGAGGTTTAGACAAGCAACCTTAGATATAACTATCCAAAATGCTACCAACATGTAATTTTGCTTAACACTGGAGAACATTTATGCACTTGTTTTATGCTTATTACACATGAAATTATATGTAGACATTTTTTTAAAGTATTTGTAGAATCTTCCAAGGCGCATTTTCACTTGATGTTAATTCCTAATTGTTGGTATAAAGATGAATATATGAGTTCAAGTGATCCCTGCTCTGGTGAAGTGATCAAAAGTAATTGTGATATTAGTCAGAATAATGCACAAATTACTTTAGAATTTGCTCGAAAATATACTATAAATGATCTTTCAGAAAAACATTCCAAGCAAATATCAAGGAACTAATTAAAATATGGTACTTTATTGGGCGAAGCCAAAAAAGCCATTCAATTTGCTATTAAAGATGGCTATGATGAGTTACTCCAATTTATAAAAGAATTTAATAGAAGAAAGGAAGCTCAACAAGCTCAAGAAGAAGCGGCTAAGCAGCAAGAAGCTTTAGCAAATAGGAAGATGACCACAAACGATAATAAAGTTCTTTGTAATAGAAAAGGAGTATTAATTGATTCAAATCAAATTTTGGATCCGTTAAAACACACTCAAATTATTTGATAATATATATATTTATCACATATAAATATATACAACCATCTTTATATAATTATTGTAAGAATTAGAATTGATAAAAACTTCATATTATAAATTCATTTCTTAATCCTTAAAATAAAAAATAATTAAAAAAATTTATAATGATAAAAAAATTATTTAAATTATAAAAAAAAAAAATTTTTATTTTAATTTAACTGTTTTTTTTTTATTTATTAAAATTAAATAAACTAATAAATTAATATGAAATCTTTAATGTACTTCTGTAAAAATCATTACAAAACTATAAAAACTCAGTAAAATTCTTCAAATATAAATATTACAATTTTATACTTTTACAATTACTTCTACTACAAATTTTTTTATATGTATGAATCTTCTAAAAAACTTTATTATTTTACATTACATAATAATTATATAAATATCTATTATTCTAAAATAATTCAAATTATTTTAAAATTATTTATTCAGATTTCAAATTATTTATTATTCTATTTAATGGGATATTTAAATCTCAAAATTTTCAAACAGATTATCCTATTATTTATGAGATAATTCAATAAAAGCAGTATTAAGAAAAATTCGCAAGAATTTTCCTTGATACTGCTTAATTTTTAAATTAAAACCTTAATACTAAATTAGTTAAATTAGAATTAAGCAGTATTAAGAAAAATTCATGAGAATTTTCCTTGATACTGCTTAATTTTTAAATTATAATTTATAAAAATGATTTATAATTGAGCTTTGAAT